ATGTTAAGATTAATATACCTATCAGAAGTCTAAATGGATATCTCAAGTAGACAACTAGATACAGAAATCTGGGATTCTAGAGCGTTCCAGGCTAGAAATCCGAGATTTGGGAGTCACTGACATATAGATGACCTTTGACACCATAGCAATGGATGAAGATACCAAGGGGAGTATGAAGACTAACCGGAGACTGAGGACAGAGGACTGAGACCTCCTGACATTTAATGACCACATTGTATGTCTACCGCACAGTCCCTCAAACGGGGGTGGGGGGCACAGAGATACTTCATGCATTATTTTTCCTTCAATGACCTTACAATCTAACCTCTTTCAGATATACAGGAAGGAAAGGCTCCTCAATATAATGGAAAGTACAATAGATTAAGAGTCAGGAATCGTGAATTTTAACCATTCTACAGCTACTCCAAGTTAAAAGTGAGGTTTCCAATTCCTTACCTACTGAAACAAGAACTAGGTGCAGGAAACTTCAATAGTACTTGCCAACTCTCCTGTTTCTGATGTCATAATTTCCATATGGCGTCCAAATGACATACTCCCATCCAACTAACAGTGGGATCTCAGCCTTCCCAGGCACAAGGTGTTGCCACTACCCCAGAAGCACACAGCAGCACTCAGAGGGTTGGCTCAAAGGGAAGTTCCTGAGCTGGAAGGAGGAGCAGCTGCTGTCTGTACTCTTTTCCTTTGGAACAAGTGTCACTTGAGAAAACCCAAAATATCAGCATTCTTGGTTTTCAGCTGGTGTTTATATCAGATAAATGGAATCCCGGGAACCAGTGAGAAGAGCAGATTTACCCTCTCATCGCATTCTCTTGGTTGTGCAAATTAATATTCTCAAAGGGATCCAATTTCCATGATCCCAGGAAGTATTTTCTTGTATCAGACAGAAGCAGTTCCACATGGCTGGATATCTGTAACAGGATATGGCCTTATGGGTCAGGAATGCTGAGCTTAGCCAAGGAAGAGCACTAAGAAAATGGTTCAGTAACATTGTATGTATATGTTTACACACACACACGCACGCACGCACACACACACACATGTGTATGTGCCTCTAGGTGATCCTTCCTATCTGTGTAGGTCATCACCCACCTGGACAGAGCTGGTTAATGGAAGGAAAGACAGACAAACCAAATTGGCCCAATCAGTTTCCGGTTTTAGAATATGTCAATTCTAGATAGAAAAATTTAGAACCTGGAGGTTAGGAAAGATGAATCACATCAGTTGCAGTGCCTTGGGGTCCCTGGAGCTGTTCTGCTTCCCTTTTAAAGAGGTAGTTAGTGAGGTCTTCATTTATCAGTACCTTTCCATGGAATCATGCAGTAATTCACCTTCCCTGACTGTGTTACCATAGTCAGCTCTGTAGCTTACAACCAAAAGAACACAACCTAGAAAGTATTAGTATCCTCATTTTACAGGTAAGGAAACTGAGGCTTAGAAGAATTAAGAGGGGGTGCCTGGGTGGCTCAGTGGGTTAAAGCCTCTGCCTTCGGCTCAGGTCATGATCCTAGGATCCTGGGATCGAGCCCCAGATCGGGCTCTCTGCTCATGCAGGACTTGATCCCAGGACCCTAAGACCATGACCTGAGCCGAAGGCAGAGCTTATTAACCCACTGAGCCACCCAGGCACCCCGAAATTATCTTAATCTTACCACTTTTAGTACAAATGATCATTTCTAGGCTTAGGGTTAATGTTTATAGAAAAAAATTAGAGAAAATGGTAAACTGAGTGCCCAGATTGATGTGGTCACAGTGGGTGGGGCAGCTTTCCTGTATCTCAAGGGGATCATGGTCCTTACATAAAGACTGTTAACAAATATTTTTCCTTCACCACTCTTTAGAAGTGCCTATAGGATCAGAGTTTTGTTAGAAATAGGAGGCAAAAAGATCTAAGAAACCTCAAATCTCCTTTTCCCAACCATCACTCCCTTACACAGGCATGGCTTCTCCGATCTGTTTGCCCTACTGTCCCCTATAAACAAAAATCAAAACATCTACCACACTTTAGCACATTTCCCACATTTCCCTTTGTTTTCCTGGAAGGACTATACACCCCTTCGTCAAAATCAGGAGCTATGTCAGTGGTTTTGCATTTCCAAAATCTGATACAGGGCCTGTAACATACAAGGGTGTCAATAAATGTCTGTGTCATGTATAAAAATGAATAAAAGACGCTCAAAGCATCTCCACTGAGAAATCAGTTTCAATAAAGAAAAACAATGTCATTGGGAAACTCTATTTTCTCTGCTTGTGAGTGGAGTCCTATCATTTTTACACTCCACTGATTCATTCTGAACATGGTGTCAGGAACAATACAGGGCCAAAAAACAATTAACAGGGGAACAAAACAATCGGTTGCACCGTCTGGGATTTGAGCGACTTATAGATCAAATGTCTTAAATTTGTTATGCTCCTTCTCGTTTGGCCAGAATGGATGACTTGGCTGCAATGTCCCAGGAATAATTGTCCCTCATATATTCCCAATCACCTGCTTCTTAATGACTAGTCAGAAGTGACAACATAAAAGGTGCAGTGACTTTCACTGTTCTTGGCAAATCTTGGACCAACTCCCATGGATCTGCCCTTTAGAATAGGTGAGCTCAGAGACACTGTGTGCTACTGGCTACAGTCACTGCCATCGGTCCTCGGCAATCCCAAGACCCTTGGGTTGAGAGGAGACCCCAGGGGAAGGAGTGAGAGGTCTGAAATGATCTTTGGTTCTTACACGACTTCATAGGTAGTGGGAGATCTGGAACAATGTGGCTTACACCAAAACTGTCTCACTCATCTCAGAGGTCAAATGCTCTTTCTATTGCCCCAAACCAGGACCAGGGTAGTCAACCCTACAACGATGTTTAGAAAAAGTCTAGGAGCTTGACAGACTGTCCAGCCCCATGTGGCCCACTTGTGGTCCAGATGGCTCCTTCCTCATCTTAGTTCCTACTCTGCTTGTGCTAGCTTCGAAAATTCAGTGACTCTGAATTTACATTCCATGAGCTCCAAGACAGCTCTCTCTTCCTCCTTCACCCCAGTGTACTGTGTCCTGTTTTTGATCCAGCTGTAAAAAAGAAAGATCTACCGTTCTCTTGAAACACCCCTTAACTAATTATACAGTGGCCCTCACAAAAGCCAGTCCTTGAAAACATCCTTGCCTGTTCATCCAGCCCCTGTTCCAAGTTTGTTAAGGAATCATCCTCATCCCCAGACTCCTGATATTGGACAATTCTGTCCACTGATGGTCTGTAGGGATGAGATCTTGCAGTTGCCTCCTTAAGAAAATCTTTTCTTCCCTCATTCTCCCTGCCTTCCCAGTCTGGTCCACCAACAGTTCCCACGCTGCTACCTTGTATCAATTTTTTTAAATGATTTTATTTATTTATTTGACACAGAGAGAGAGAGAGAGAGAGAGAGAGAGAGAAAGATCACAAGTAGGCAGAGCAGGAGTCAGAGAGAGAGGGGGAAGCAGGCTCCCCGCTAAGCAGAGTCCAATGCAGGGCTCGATCCCAGGACCCTGAGACTATGACCCGAGCTGAAGGCAGAGGCTTAACCCACTGAGCCACCCAGGTGCCCACCTTGTATCATTTTATTACTAGTTCTCGTAGAGACCTCTCAACTCCTCCCATAAACAAATGATAAACTGCTTGAGAGCAGAACTATGTCTACTGCATAAGGAGTATCTTTCAAGCCCTAGAGCTACACTTTTCCTAAACACTTGATAACTCTGTAAATTATCCCTTCATATAAAATAGAGGCTGACAACCTATGGACAGCCAGCTTGAAGTCTACAAACTTGGCATATAAAAGAATAAACGAAGCTGGAATTGGACACAGCTTACGGACCAGAATCTCCTCGCCCTGATGCTGCTTCTTTTTACCTTGATCTCTGCCCTTTGCCCAAACTGTACTTCAGTGCAAACACAAGATGCCAACGTGGTGAATGACAAGGGGCTTCTCCCCGCATCCTGGACTGGTGCTCCCCTCCTCTTTAGCCAGCTCTCATGCCCTTCCCCCGCTTCATGCCACACTCCAGTCCTTGTTGGACTTCATTCCCTTCCCCACCTGTGACCCAGTTTCTAACCTCTGTCCCTTGGCACATTCCTTTCTTGTCTAAGACACATGCCTTCCTCCAAACTCTTTGCCAAGCTAACTCCTACTCCTATTTCAAGTCTCAGATTGCAAAATTTCTTCCTGGAAGCAGCTTTCTGTAAATGTCCACGGCATGCTGGGTCCCCCAGCAAAGGGCCCCCCAAACTTCCATTTTCCTTTTGATGATATTTATGACAATAACTACTACTGTAACAGTCACGGACATTTATTAAGTCATCGTCTACTAACTCAATCATCACCACTACCTTCTGACGTAGGAAACTGATTACCCCTATTTTATAGAGGGGGAAATCAAGTCTCAAAGATATTGATTACCTTGATCAAGTTCATATCACTCCATAAAGGTCAGATTTCTCATTCAGCCTAGCTCCAGTGTTCATGTCCTTTACCAATACATCATGCTGCCTTCTTACAGAGTTCACCACATTTGTGATTATTTGTTTCATGACTAAATATTCCAACAGACAGCAACTCCATGATATCAGGCCTGGGCCTACCTTGTTCAATAGTGTATTTTTAAAGCCTCATCCAAGAGCTAGCATACAGAAAGCTCTGAAACGCATGAGTTAAATGAATAAATGAAACAGCAGGTTCGTTAGCCCATGCAGAAACCCAAAAGAGAAGTATTCACCCACTCTGGATAGAAAATGTCTCCTACTTAATCCAAAAAGTATCATGAGCTTGGTAATATTTACTCTAAAATTTCCCTTTCCAGGATCCAGCCCTAGTTCAACAAATTCACACATCCAGAGGCAGAAAGAGTATAATCTGGAAAGCAGTAAATGGGGGGAAATGCTTCTGGTCTATATCGGGACACACCTGCTATACATGACGCCCACCCGGACCTTGCAGGCCACCCATGAGGGCCAACTCACCCCTTTCACAGGTCCTTCCCCAGTAGCCAGTGCCCGTGCAGTCGCAGATGAAGCGGTTCCAGCCGTCCTTGCACACCGCGTTGTTCTTGCAGGGGTAGCTATCGCACTGCTTGGCGCTCATCCGCGAACAGGAGGACTTGACGCCCGCAGCGTTCTGCATCTCCGCCAGCTGTCGAATGTTCTTGCTGCGCCCGTCAATGAACAGGTCACGGATGCAGCCCACGTAGCCGTAGTTGAGCATGGCAGTCCAGAGCTCAGTGGGGAGGATGAGGCCGGCACGGTTCTCTGGTAGCCCGCCCAGATACATGTCCCCCTCCAGGTCCAGGATCTCACTCTCCCCGCTGGCGGTGAATGGCGTGCGCCTGCTGTTCACTGATATGGTACCTGGGATGGAAGGATGGAAACAGAGTGAGCTAACAGCCCTCGGGGCACCGCAGGTGAGGCTGCCAGTCAATGAACCAAATGAAAGGAGCCCGGCAGGTGCGCTCAGAGACTCACGGTACCTGGCCAGGTGAGAACAATGCAAGCAAGGGGGTGAGAGCCTTCCAGAGACGGTAGAAAGGAAAATGGCCATTTGGTTCCAGTCTTTGCTGCTAAGGCACTCTCACTGGTAGGAGGATTCAGGACCATCTCAGTGAACGAAGACCTAAGCTGATGTCTTTGCTCTACAGAGTCTTGGCCGGAAGATCACCTGTTGAACAGGTTAAGAGCAACCCAGCCGCTGCCTGTGTTTAAATCTCATCTCTACCAGGTACTAGCTGTGTAACCCTGAAGACGTGATTTTACCTGCCACGGCCTCAATGTCCTCATCTGTAAAATGGGAAAATAATATTCCTCAGAGACCGGCATGATGATTAGATAAGATCCAATGTGTAAACTGCTCCTCAGGATGTGGGACAGAATAAGGGTTCTGGAAGTGCTTGCTTGAGTCTTCATCCCTCACTTGCCATGCCCAAAATGATGGAACCCTCCATGCACTAATACTGTCTATACCGCCATTAGCTACCAGCCCCACCAGTGAATATTTGGAGCATTTCCTTGGAGAAATTTTAACTGGAACATCTTTGTTTATTCATTTAACAGGTATGTACTGCACACGTGTTGTGTCTCTGGTATACTGGCAGGCACAGAGATGAACTTGACAGGTACGTCTCTACTCTTGTGGTGCTGATATTCCAGAGCAGAGAGACGGAAATTAAACAAATGACTCAATAAGCAAGAGAAATTAGGTAATGGTCGGTACTAGGAAGAGAGAAGAATGGGTGGTTTCTCCTTAAAAATGTATAGTGGGTGAAGGCTTCTCCAGGCAGGGGACAGGTACGCTCAAACCACAATATTGAAAAGGACCCAGCCATGCCAAGTCCAAGGGGAAAAACATGCCAGGCAGGGGGAACAGCACCTGCAAAGGCTCTGGGGTAAGCCAGAGTGTGACTAGAATGGGAGGGCCCGATGGGTGAGCAGGAGACGAGATCAGAGGGGCAGACGAGGCACAGCAGCAGCAGAGCTGGGGACCCATCAATGAGACTATGCAAACCCAGAGCCTGGCCTGGGAACTCGGGACTGGGATTCAAGTCCTAAATGGCCTTCTGACCCTAGGCCATTCCCCAAGCTACTTTACAGTCCATTTTCCTAAACTATAAAATCAAGGAAACTGTAAAATTAAGGTGATATCTGAACATGATGCCAGAAATCTTAAATTTAATTGCTATTCTTTTTTTTTTTAAGATTTTATTTATTTATTTGACAGACAGAGACCACAAGTAGGCAGGGAGGCAGGCAGAGAGAGAGAGGAGGAAGCAGGCTCCCTGCTGAGCAGAGAGCCCTATGTGGGGCTCGATCCCAGGATTCTGGGATCATGACCTGAGCCGAAGGCAGAGGCTTTAACCCACTGAGCCACCCAGGCGCCCCTTAATTGGTATTCTTAAAGGGCTTTATTGGTACCAAGATATCTGGGTCTTGCCATTTATCAGGCAGCCTTCACTTCTGCCTGAGTCTCAGTCCCCTGGGCTATGAAAGGGATAGCCTGAAGGACTAAGAAGACCCTGTAAGATCAAGAATGTGACACGCACTCGTAATGAGAAGGCAAGCCTTAGAGGCTTCTGGGCGGGTTATGCCAGCGGCACACGCTTCCCCCACTCTATTCTCGAGGTTTTCCCCTGGAGAAATCAGCTTTGCATTTTTGTTTTTAAAATGGTAGAAACCTACATATCAGTTGTTCTGTCCTGGTCACCATTGTTAAGTGCTGTGCGTGCTTTTCTGGACTTGATCCTCCTAACAATCTCGCGAGGGAGGAGCTAACAGGGGCACCATCTCACAAATGAGGACGTTGGGGCTAGCATCTCCTCTCCTCTCACACTGCTTGCTTTCTCTGCCCTTCACAAGCCCACAGAGCGGCTGGATCCCCAACCTGGAAGAGCAGCTTTTGCTAAATAAGGACAGCACTGGGGCGGATTTAAATGTTGGAGCCATAAATACCTCCGGAGGGAAATCCGTCCTGTGAGTGTGTGACCACAACCATTTTGAATGCACTTAATCAAGTTTCAAGAACAAGTCCCCCAACCGGGGAGGGATCACCATTCTCCTCCCATATCAGGCTTCAGCATGAGCAAGGAAGCAGGCACCACACTCGAGTATGCAGACATTTTTAGAACTATTCGCCCTTGTACATGTTTGTAACTAAAAATATACCAGAAAATACCCTTGTGAAGAAATGAAGTTTAATAGATCATATTAAGTTTGATGTTATGCTGTGTTCATGGGATATGGATTTGCTTACTCAATAAATTATTACAGGCGTTGATCAAATGTATCAGAATTGGCCAATGTTATAGCTTCCGGATATGAAATCCAAGGCTTCAGAAATCCAGACAGGTTTGCCAAAGATGGGTCCATCAATGGTTCTAACAACTAAGCGCCCCACATGAAAAAGCCATCCGTGCTGGGAATAAACAGAAGTAAACATCCAACAATTTCCCGTGCTCTAGGCCATCCATGACACAGATAGGTAACCTTGAAGCTGCGTCAGGTCTAGGCTAGAAAATCTTGACACCCATCAACCATAAAGGAACTCCAGACACCCAAAACACACGGTCCTAAAACCAACAGAAGTGTTTCCCCTATAATTTTAGGATAGCTTTCTGGCTCTGCCCCTGTTGACACTGTATGGGTAAATTTAGAAAGAGAAAGATTCAGCCTCCAGAGAAATTAGTTTTTTGTGTCTTTTCTGTTAAAAAAGCACAAACTGTCCATTCTTACTCAACAAGCACATTTAATTTGAAGCCTCTTGGTTCCGATTAGATTTCAGACAATCAATAAGGCATCCTGCTGGGCACTAAACCAGCCAGGGCTACAATCTGCCACCCATCTGCCCTCTCGGCAGAACCCATCCAGCTCCTCCTAAGGGCAACACTGCCCTGCCCGTCTCCGTCATCCCTCTGCCTGCAGGATTATGCAGAAAAGCCGTCCCAGGAAAGCTCAGCCCTTCCCAGCTGCAGCCTTTGGAGGGAACCTATTGCTTTCTATTAGCGGCCAAGTGCGCCAACATGAAAATGTCCAAATGAAAGACTTTTCATGTTTCCCAGGAGAGAGTCCTTAAAACGACAACAAACACCACCAAGACCCTTCCTCTTGAGTATAACCCCACCTAAATGGAGAATCAGGAAATCAGTGTGAAATTCAAGTGCTCTAGTTACCACTCTGGGTGACATGTCCTTTCGGATAGCACAGAATGTGACCTTCACTGCCACATGGTCCAGAGAAAGCTAGGCAGACTGTCCAGGCATTCAAAAGCTCCAGACTGTGTGTGTGCATGTGTGTATGCGCGTGCGCGCGTGTGTGTGTGTGTGTGTGTGTTTCCTCCCTCTCTGTTACCATTCCACGGTAGCTATGTACTGCCTGGGGCTCACTTGTTTGATCTGCGGCTGCAGAAACAAACAAAGCCATTGAAACCAAATGTAAAGGTTATGAAGAGGAAGGGAGAGTCAGTGAGGTCTGAGCAAAGAGTGAAATATAGGCTCTCGCACCAAAGGAAGGCTTTAAATTGAACATGACTTCAGGAAAAATCAATCTGCCTTTTCCTTTCTTGTCATAATTTCTCCCTGCAACACGACTCTTGCCAATTATTGAAGGGCGTAGCGCTGCATAAACTCTCACACAGTGAAGCTTAGCCTACAGAGTAATCACATAATGCAGCATCTGTGATGTCACAATTGTGTTTCCATGGTGATGAGAAAAAGGGGAAGAAGAAAAAGAGGGGGGAAAAAAAAAAAAACCATCACACCAGTTACATGACAGCCTCTTTGGTAGGAGTGGAAATGCTACTTGTAAAACCGTGCTTGGCTCCAGAGCCTTGGAGCTATCACTGAGACGGCTGTGCCGTGAGTGACAAGAGGACCACGTGCACTGTCGGCGAGACAAGGTATCTTGTTCAGAAACGTCATCTTACAACAACCATTAAAGAGAACAGCAAAAGAGTCAAACACGCATGCAAGTGCAAACATTAAAATAAAAAAATATAAAGCCGGCAAACGGACTGAAAAGCTGCAGCTTTCCTCTCTTCTCAGTCTCCACCGTGCCCCTTCCTACCTGATCTGCCATCTCGCTGAATGTCCACGTGGTACCATTCCCCATCATTGGCTTTCTTCTGAGTGGCCTTGACTTTGATGGTGCCTGAGCCCATGTCAAGCAGCAGGTATAGGTTGCCATCGAGGAGTTCGACAGCAAAGAAGTCCACCTTGGTGTTCTTCTGGCTCCGAGTGTCCTTCCTCTCTTGGGGCTTGCCATGAGTGAAGAGAATCAGGCCATTGGGCTCAGTGGTGCGAAAGTCAAAGGAGATGGAACCCATGCGTTTGGTGTTCCATTTGGGCAAACTGATGTACGCCTCTGGGGTTTCGAAGTTGATGGGGTCCAGCGTGGCCACATTCTCACACTTGAATACAACTTCACCATAGATTTTCATCTTGGTGTCCCCGATCCGGGCCAGGCGAGACAGCTCCAGACGGATGTCATTATTCTTATAAACAACCTGTCAAAAGCCAAACAAGAGCCATATGAATCAGTCTTGCAAAGAGTTACCAGCCACTGCTCACTGGGCACCCGGGAAAAAGGCCCAAGAAGAGGCTTCAGGACACAGTGTGTCTGAATCCGTATGAGAAATGGGAGCTATGGCATTTGAAAAAGCATCGGGAGAGACCTGTGGGGTACACCTAAGCCCTGGAAAAAGCCCCCACATTTCTATTTTATTCCTTTTGGGTTGTCTCCTTCTGGCCAATTTTTTTGTGTTGTCAGAAAGTTATACAATACCAGTTTGCAAGCAAAAATCAAGAGAGACTGAGTTTCACAAATACTAATATTTAAACACAAAGATATTTACTGCAGTATACTTAGTGAAAGACCAGAAACAACCTAAATGACCATCAACAACAGACTGGCACTTCCCATGACGGACAATCATGCAGTCCTAAAAAATAAGGTAGTGCTCTGGTTTTGACATGGATGCTTTCCAAGAAATGTTGTTAAGTGAAATTAGCAAGGAACATAGAAGTGTGTACTACACTATCATTGTGTTAAGTGTGTGTGTGTGTGTGTGTGTGTGTGTGTGTTTGTGTTGGGGGAGGCACGTGTGTAATATGTATATATGCTCATAAATGCATAAAAAAGCTTTGGAAGGAAACACAGGAAACTATAAAATTGTCACTGGGGAGTGGATTTTGTCAGTTTCATATTCAAGAATAAGAGGGTGACTGACTTTTCACAATACCCTGTTGCATTGTTTTTTTTTTTTTTTCCACCGTGCACATGTATTACTAAAAGAAAATTATTCAGTGTTAGAATTGGTGGGGAAGGAGATCTGTGTTTTTTGCACATGTATGTGCCCTCCATATACATACGGTGGGAGAATAAAACACCTTAAAACACTAAAAAAAAAAAACTATTATGATTTTTGAAACCAGGTGTAATCCACATAAAAGCAGGGATTAATGATATTCCCCCAAATCGGAATTTCAAAGAGGTTGTGCTGTTACTAGAACTGAATTTTGATTGCAGTGCTCTGGGATGGGTCTTGGTCCCCTGATCTCTAAGTAACATCTTTCCAATAAACAGGGGGGAAAAACTGAAAGGGAAAGGGACTAACATTACAATTGATTATGGCAATTACTTTGCTATGTGCTTTACATCATCTTATTCAAATTCTAAGTCAGGATCCAGATTTCGGCTCAATTTCTACATCCACTACCTATGAACTGTGTGACCTTGGCAGAGTCACTTAACTCCTCTGGATCTCTCTTCCCCTCTGAAAATGGGAACACATGCGTAAACTACTTTGCAAGGGTGAAATGAGTTAATACATGTTGAGCACTTGGAATGACACAGAGTAAGGGCACAGAAATCTCAGCTCCTTTGTAGGGAAGTAATGTAGCTGTTAGTCTCATTTCATCCTTTCCATGACCCCCAAAAAGACTGTATTATCATCTCCACTTTCAGCAAAATAACAAAACTTAAATACTAAAATAAGTCTCACAATCCATCTCAGTGAAAAAAATGGGTCATTTCATTTTGACCCATCATGGATGGGTCATTTCATTTTGACCCATCATGGATGGGTCATTCTAAAACAAATTGTTTAATCCCTAATATCCAGCTATAGAACTGTCTCCCTTCTCTTCCCCAGCACCAGGAGAGAGTAGAGCAGAACCGTTGGCCTTTTAATATACAGCTAATGACAAAGAATTGAAAATGCCTCACCTACTATATGACTTTGACAATGGGCCTAACCATCGTCGGTAACACTGAAAATAACAGTGATACTAATATTTACTGAGCACCTACTACCAGATACCACACTAAGGATCTAAAGCCTACCATCCCCCATCAGATGCTGACAACACCCATTTGAGACACCCACCATCATCCCCCGCTTTTACGGATGTAGAAACAGATGTGGAGAGTAGTTAAGGAACCAGTAGTTAAGGAACTGGCAAAGCAGGCCTTGAACCCAGGGAGTTGGACTCTCGCAACCAGGTGCTTTACCACTGTCGCTACTCAGAGTGAGGTCCCACTAGCAACACCTGGGAAGCTCATCTTTAACATTACATGGACAATCATGCAAGTTCAGCTTCCCGAATGTCTCATCTGAGCACTACTGGACTAACCGTGTTGAAAGTGGAAATACTGCATGATCCTTAGGCAATCACTCCAGTGAGCCAGAAAAGAAACAAAGTTTAATGATTGGCAACTTCTCCTTTCTAACCCCACTATTGCGCCCCGGCATGGGAGAGCTCTCTGTCATAAACAAACTTTGGCTTTCTCTGAATTTGGTTAAATGCCTATGATTCGAATCGCTTATTAAGATTAATTATTAATGTATAACAATAGCTCATCCCAGGAGGGCAAACCGAGACTTGGTTCCACTGAATAATAAATGGATAAAGAACTCAAGCATCCCTACATGAGGCAGGAGAGAAAAAAGAAAAAACCTTTTAAGGGACGCAGGATAGGGGCCCCTGGGTGGTTTAGTCAGTGATAGGTCTGACTCTAGATTCTGGCTCAGGTCTTGATCTTAGCATCCTGAGATCAAGCCCTGCATCAGGCTCCACACTCAGTGGGGAATCTGCTTGAGACTCTCTCTCTCTCTCTGCCTCTGTCCTACCACTGCTCAATCTCTCTCTCTTTCTCTCAAAATAAATAAAATTATTAAAAAGAAATAAAAATAAAGTGATGCAGAGTACTGTGAAGAGGGACTCTTTGAGAAAGGTATGCAGCTGAGACTGGGACCTGAGGTAAATCACTACAGTGCAGGTTTCCAGAGGGACACACAGGACAATCAGGGCCACATACTGGCCAAAGTACCAGACTTTTCTCAAAAGCTCTTTGAAGGTGAGCGCTCTCTCTGTTCCATGACCTGGAAATTACTTCTCTATTTACCTGGAGTTTCCTCACCTTTCTTACTGACAGCTGGATAAACTCTCTGAGTCCCATTTCCAAGGACAAGAACTTCAAAAACCTATACTAGAAACAGCTCCCCTTTTCCCCCAGGGCTATTATCAAGATCGAGAGGGATGTTATATGTGGCAGAACACAGAAAACTCTACGCCAATACACAAACCTAGGAAGAAATAATAGCATACCCTTGTCTCCAGTGGTGCTGGAATACTGCCAGAAACTGCCTGGAGCATGGCCTAAAGCTCTGTTGAGAACCCCCACCAAGAAGAAAGGGATAAGAGGACAGGGGCTCTTGTAGCCTGGGGGTACTCAACTGGGAAGCTCCATGGTTAGCATCCTTGCCTCCCCCACCCGCCTGGTGTAGGATCACGGGCAGGACCACAGCCATGAAGAAAGGTACCAGGGCCTTGGGGAGGGCATGGAAGCAAGAGACCCTGCCAGCCCCCCTTACGAGGCAAATTAGTATCTAGTACAGTGTTCTCTGTTCAGCTAAAGGCAAGTCCCCGACAGATGACTGAAGGAGGAAAAGATGCGGCATCAAGTGACAGAGAGCAGGCTGGGCTGACAAGCTGCCCCAACAAGGACCAATTAAAGACAAGTGGAAGTGAGTCCCCATGAAGGAAGATGTCACACAGACTGAGTGGCAGAGACAGAGTCACAAAGAAAGATAAGCTGGTCTGACTACCCCACACACAGGCTCGTAAAGACCACCATTTGGACTTGTAGCTCATGCCTACAAGGCCGGGGAGTAAAACAGGTGAAGACAGAGTCTCCCAGTTGAGACAGAGTCTCTCAGAAAAGCTGTACTTCCATGCCTCCAGAATCCCCGATACAAAGGCACACAGGAGCAATGTGAGGACTAAGGCAAGATATGAGAGCAAGGACAATGTAACAAAAACAGTTTCCATCTACTGAGCAGCTACAACGTGCCTGACGGTAAGCAAGAGAAACAGGTAGCCCTAGCTGCATTGTACAGACAGGAGATAGGTCAGTGCCCAAGATCATCCAGGCATTGAGGAGTTAACTAGAACTTGAACCCAGATCTCTCGGACTGTACTGGGGCAGGGCCACACTCTAGGGGGGGCAGTTTCTAGGCTCTGCGGTCGCCCGTGCTTACCCATAAAGCAAAAACCCCTTAATCAAGTACAAAACCACGCCCAGCTCCGTCCTGTCCTGCGAACCCATGACACGTGGTATGTCCCGTTCTTCCCCACTCAGGAGTCACTTCGGGGGCTTCTGTCTGAGCTCAAGTGCAGATGTTTCTGCATCTTTACCCGCTATGTTTCTCTATGTTTCTCACACTACCGTGCTTTCCTGGTGCCCCTTCACCAGGACCCACACCCAAACCCACTCCAGGCCCTCTCTGGATACTCTGGTCCTTGCTGATCCTGCTATGTGACAACAAGGAAACCTTTGACTGCCTGCTGGTGATGCAGCTGTCTTCCTACTGCCCAGACCACTTGCCCTGATTGGAAAAGGAGGGACTCTTCTAATTTACGTGATGCACCTTGTATATTAAACTCATTCGTGGCACTGGAGTTAGATGGCAGGTCCATGAGAATAAATCTAGCGGGCAGACACAGTCTCCACTCACAGAGGTGCCTCTCTTCCTCTCTCTCCCACCTTCTCCTAGATCAATGTGTGCTCGGCTCCCTGAGAACAAGTTTGCATGCATTCTGCTGTAATGCCACAACCCTCTGCACTCTGGTGAATTAGAAGGAATGAGGGGATGTGGGCTTGTGCCCTGCAGTGCCCAGACGGCTTCTTGATACTAGTTCTCCTGCGCAGGAATAGGAGACCCCCACTTGGCTTCTTTTTTCCCTCTTGTTCTTTTAAAGCATCTTCAATCCTCTGTGGGCCTACACAAAGGACAATTTCAGTAAAAACCACCAGATCAGCTTCTAAGACCATCATTTATAGGTCCGTGACTTGATGCCTGAGCACCACTGCTCTGCTCCAGGTCAGTGGAGGGCGGCTGAAATTCAGGATGCTGGGGGACGCTCCCCGGAGTGTTTAGGTTGAACAATAGAGAACAGCGAGGGGCCAGGGTCAGGGTGCCTTGATATAGAACTGCCTTGATAT